GGGTTATCAATAGCTCCCAACCCATCTGGAAATCTGAGCAGCTTTAGCACAACCAAAGGAAAAAGGAATCATTGGCCAGAAGACCCAGGCTCCTGTCTCCCACCTCCCACTCCCGGTGGACTACGCCTCTGATTCCTCATCTAAAAAGTGGGACAATAGTCCTTTCTTCATCCCAGGGTTGGTGCATTAAATCACAAAGCAGCAAACCCATCAGTCTCTGGCACATTACATCAGCAGTGTTTCTTACAGCCTAGATCCACAAGGCAGAACAGGATAGTCATAAACAAACCAACAAACAAACGCTGATGACGAAGGCCTGCAACGTCTCCCAGGGTGTAGCCTACATTCTTGGTTTTGAGAACCCTCCTCCTGAAGCCACATCATATTCTCTAAGACCTGAGGGCAAGCCTCAAATCCAACACGACCGGTGCTTACCTCTGCCATAGGCCCGGGCTTTCTTGGGGTTGAGTTTGGGTTTCAGAGGAGCCCCGGGCTTGAGCTTGGCTTTGGGGAACTGGGACAGGTACGTCATCACCGAGTGCTCATCCACATCCGGGTGAATGATTTCTTCAGGAGTGATGACCTAGAACAGCGACACGGAGAGTGAATGCCACAACACATCAAGGTATTGAAGTTTTTACAAACGTCTCTTACACACTACAAATAATAAGAAATTAAGTGAACTTCATCAGGCGCTATGCCAAGATCTGTGTGTTTTGACCTTTGAGAGGTGTCACCATTCCCTTTGGAAGCTGAGGGCCCTCTGCGGACAATTCTCTATGTCATTCCCAGAGTACATACTTTCCCTCCACCCCTGAAATAACCCACTCACTCCCCTCGTCAAACTTCCCAGTAGGATAAGTACATCAGGGGAGGAGGATGAAGGAACAATTACATATGAGATTAGCACCCTTAGAAGCCATTTAAAAAATGGAGAGGTGATAAATTTCTGCAGATATTCATCTTAGGAACGAGAATATTAGTCAAGTTATAACCCATGCTGGCCAGGCAGCCTCACTGCAGGCACTGCAGACTCAGTTCTATCACCTGACCCGGCCCTAAATAGCACCCAAAATCCTCCTGCCCCAACAAGAGGCAAGCCACACCTCTTGAGATGAACAGAAGACTCGGTCTCATGAACCAGGTTAACCAAATGCAGATGAACAACATATGTCCCTAGCTTTCCTGTTCCCGTGGTTAAAAAACAACAAAAAAAACACACAGAAATCATTCTGATGATTAGCCTGCAGCATCAAAATAGCCATTTGGGTTTGTATAATATGTTTCATACTATGGAGGACGGGTGGTGATTTGGCGTTTCGTCTAGGCAGCTCCTTCAACAACTTAACAGTGCCAACATCACATGAACGTCAAAAGGAGATGGTTTTAGGTTTAAGAGATGAAAAACATACCCCGCCACTTCCTGACGATGGAAAAGCCAAGAAATGGGCCATGAAGCAGAGACACGATGCCAAAACCAAACCAAAGAAATAGAGGCAAGTTTTTCTACCTCCCAAGGGATCTCGTTACAAAATGCACTAAACTCAGCTCTGAACACCAACTTAGACCTCAATGAAGCCTGTGGTGAGGTCATCCACCCATGGCACTGGCTACCCACAGCTTTTCTTGACCAGGGCTTTTAACGTGGGAGTCATGGTGTTCAATTGTGAGAAGGAAGGGCTATTTAGACTCCTTGCAAGGGCTTAGAAGAATCATCCTCAATGTGGCTACTGCAGATGGTATCTAAGACTTACCAAGTTCTCTATAATTTCCAAGTTCTCTTGTGATATTTCTGTGATAGGATTATGGGCAATACAAATTCTGTCACAATTTTCATTAATTGTAGGTTATCCTGGTTTACATTTCTTTTAAATTCTAAGTTCCATGATTTCTTTCCAAAGAGAATAAAATTTTAAAAATTTTTAAATAGATAAGAAGTGATTAAATATTGATTTCTTATGATCCAACCTAATCATTAGTGTCCTCATTTGCAACCCATTGTCCAAAGATAGCCTTTGAAATTTTTGGAGCAGAAATACTAGAAAATTTGCCACATGTGACCAAGAGTAAAGACTTTTGGATGCTCTACAAGGACCTAAGTCAATAAGAACCTATTATTATTGGTAAACTGAGGAAGACGGGAGCGTGCCACAAGCAATACTCTTTGAAGGTTAATGCTGAGTCCTGCCAGACTCAAAGAAACGCCCATCCAGTCCCAGAACAAGCCAGAGGGTGGGAGCAGAGCTCTGGGAGGGGGCGTGCATGCATGAGTACCTGTGGGACACCCAGCCAGTCGTCTGCCTGCTGCATAGCTTCTCGTGCGTTATCCACGGGCTTTCGTGGATCCCAGGATTCCCAGTCTGGGCACAGACCTGTTAACATAACACAAAAGATGCTGTGAGTAATAGCTGACGGAAGAGATTTTTGAACTTGCCAATGGTGCAAAAGCAGTCTGTCATCAGTAGAAACCATATTCATAATTTTGAATTTTGAACTTTTCCTGGTCTAGTGATATACGGTGCAATATTCTTGTGAAGGCTGGGCAGTGGCAACAAGATGATTTTGCCCAACCATAGGCTGAACTTGCTTAAGGTAGGCTAGACTGAGCTATGTTTGATAGCTGAGGCATATTATATGCTTTTTTGAATTTCAGTATTTTCAACTTACAATGGGTTTATGGGAACATAACCCGATAGTAAGTCAAGGAGCATTTGAATACACTTTACAGACATGTGGGTATGGAAGGATAGAACTATTCTGTCTTAGCTGAGAGTCTCCTTGAAGATGTTATCTTCTTGCATTAAGATGGGGGTTAGCCACTCCTTAAAGGTGTGATATAAGCAAACTCAGCCTGTAAAACCATCTGGCCCTAGTGCCTTTTGCAGGAGATATTTTTCAACCTTCCACTCTCACACTTCTGTACCCTGGTCACCAAATGTGTGGGGTTCACACCAGCTGGGTGTCCTACAAGGTACCTCAATTCTGACTATCTACCTGGGGGTAGTAGCATCAGATCCCAAAGCTGAGAGCTCAGTCCCACAAAACCGCACTCCCTCTTTCCACCCATCTGGGCTTCTGACTGACCAGATACAAACCTACAACTCCCTCCTGAGGTTTACTCATTTCCTGGAGTGGCTCGCAGAACTCAGGAGAACCGTTTACTTACTAGATTACCAGTTCATTACAAAGGGAACGGAAAGATGGAAGAGATGCACAGGGGAGGACAGGAGAAGGGGGAGGAATGTCCATGGCCTCTCTGAGGGTGCCGCCCTCAGAACCTTCACGTACTCACCAACCTGGAAGCTCCCTAAACCCCACATTCAGGAATTTTGGGGAAGCGTTATTACTTAAACGGGATTGATTCAATCCCTGGTCCTAGCGATGAGCTCAATCTCCAGCCCCTCTCCCCTCTCTGGGGGTCAGAAGAGAAAGCTGAAAGTTTCAATCCTCTAATGGGTGGGTTCCCTGGACAACCAGACCCCATCTTTGGGGCTTTCCAAAAGTCACCTCATTAACATAAACTCGGGTGTGGTTGAAAGACACCATTATCGTGGTTCTTGTCACTTAGGAAATTCCAAGGGTTTTAGGAGCTCAGTACCAGGAAAGGGGACAAAGACCAAATATATATATTTCTTATTTTAAGTCACAATATCACAATCCCATTCTTGGATATATCTAAAAAGACTGAACTAGCATCCTGTATAATTTAAAAAATCCACTTGCTAAAAGGCCAAACCTAGAATTATCTCAAAAACCTTTGAAAGCACAAGAAGTATTTAGGACTAGAGTAAAAATCCCCACATTTAAACTGGAAAGAGGTTTCCTAAAATGAGTCTCTGGATGCAAGCAAGGATGAGGGCACTGGGCAATGGCCTGCTGCTGAGCTCCGAGTTACTTCTGATGACTCCAGCTTACAGAATAAGGCCTAGAGTCAGCCCTCCCCCAGTACCCAACTGACACCAGACAGTTCTGCTTTGAGCATGTTGAGAAGCACTAGCTTACTAAATATTAATGTGCCCAGCACATGCATAGCACTCAGTAAATGGAAAATATGGTTATTAGAGTTTTTATTAAAAATTTTTTTGAGCGATACATATAAACATAGGCTCTGGCTTTTCTATTGAGTGTGTACCAGCAAACTCTACCCATCAATCTAATCCCTTCATGAGGATAATTACTGTCTTGGGGCATACTCAGCTACTCAGGAAAGGGTGGAAAAGGCTCCAACTGGATCCTGACCAAGCCCTATTTCATAGCAACACAGAAAGAAAAGGGCAGAGAAAGCCTTATATAGTCAAGCCAGTGGTCGATAAAAATGGGTACTTTCCGCTCAATGAAAGTTTTTAGATTTTCATGCCAAGCCACCTAACAGGCCACATGTTTTTGCCAAAGGCTACGGGAAACTAGGCACCAACTGTGGGAAGCAGCAGGACTTTGGAGTCTAGAAGCTAAACCCCAGGCCTGGTCCAAGCATTAAGGCCTTCACTGGGAATTTGGATAAATAACTGAATTCAATGCTTAAACAAGTCCATGGCTACACCTATAAGACATGCCATTGGAAAGGTAGATGGAGTCATTTTCAGTGCCTCTCACTATCTTACAATGAGCCAAAACCAGGAGAAATACACCAATCACAGCAAACCTAGCATTCCCAATGAAAACCCAGAAGTTTAGGGCCCATATACCCCCATCCCAAAGAGATGGCTTAGGTAACCATGGGGACTTACCTGGGGCACAGCTGTCTACCAGGGCACCCAGGGCTTTGCCGTCTTGCCAGTTCTGGTTAAAGTTGGTGATGGGCAAATAGGGGATCTTGTTCTGAATCCATCCCAGCAGCCTCTGCTTCGGCGTCTGCTTCTTGGCATCGTCATCCCCTTCATCCTCCCACACGGGCATGGAGATGGAGTAGTGGAGGATCAGGGTCCATACCAGGCCCAGGATGAGCTTCAGGTTCCCATCCACGATGGCTTTGCTATCTGGGGAGAGAGGCCAAGGCTTGGTCATTCCTCTGGGTTACACAAGGGTGAATCATGCTCTTTATAAATCGGCGTCTGCTTCTTGGCATCGTCATCCCCTTCATCCTCCCACACGGGCATGGAGATGGAGTAGTGGAGGATCAGGGTCCATACCAGGCCCAGGATGAGCTTCAGGTTCCCATCCACGATGGCTTTGCTATCTGGGGAGAGAGGCCAAGGCTTGGTCATTCCTCTGGGTTGCACAAGGGTGAATCATGCTCTTTGTAAAAAAAGGAAATGAAGTCCTCATCTGTTAGAGAATCGTACTGAACCATTTAAGAGTGAAAGGATACAATGCTGGAATTTGCTTCAAAATATCTGAGGATGGGAATAGGTGAAGTAAGATTCCAAAATGTTGTAAACTGGTGGCCTTGGTACATAAAAATGCATTATGCTATTATTTCTGCTTTTGTGTATGTTTGAAATTTCCCATAATAAAAAAAAAGTTTTTAAAAGTCAAGTGTTCGGTATTCCGTTTCAGGGGAAGACCCTTTACCCCATCCTCCTGCAGGACAAACCATGGCTTGTCATTCAATGGCCAGATCTGGCGGCTGGTGGCCCTTCCCTCCCACCAGCTCTGTGCCTAGGACTCCTCAGCCTACCACATCCCGTCTAGGTCTGTGAGCACCTGCTGGGGAGAAATGGAGCCTTCTTCACCTTGGCCCACCCACCACAAGCCATCTGAATGTTGGTTAAAAACACACACCAAACTGCACTTAAAATGAAACCCAACTACAACCACATGAAAAATATACTCACATGCTGATAAAGAGGAAATAGCATGCCACTCAAAACTGAAAGGGCGGGATCTTTTTTTTTTTTTAATTAACCTGTTCAATGTTACATCTTTTACAAGAAAAGACTCTCCTAAAAAGCCACACCCAAAACCATAGAAACCAAAGGTAATTTCATGGTTGCAGATTCCGTCATAATAAAACCTGATCATGTGAAACCGGATGAGTAAAGATTATCATGAACTGGCTGGTAAGACCAACTAAATTCGAGCAATTCTCTCATTCAAAATCATGGTGCCCAGTGATATTCTCTGTAATGAACTGTATAAATAATGAAAGCCCATGATGTTTCATGTAATAGATTGTATAAATAATAGCTTTTAAGCAGATCTGTCTACATTAACTCACAGGCCCGGTGACAAATGAAAATGTAGGGCTCCTTGTCCAAAAAGTACTAAGAATTTCAAGACGGCAGCAGCAGAGCATTAAAGCAAGCACAGAGCCTTCTGCGCACAGGGCCCTGCACAGCTGCACTGCACTGGCCGTGTGACCATGAAGCCAGCTCTGCTGCCCAGGAGGGCCCATGGTCAATAAACCAGCAACAATCTGCATGCAACACGGGACACTGCCCAGAACCCTAAGATCCATGGAATTCACCCACCAGACCACACATTTCTCCAGCAGACAGCCTCTGACCATGACTGAATTTGGGGGATTAGGTATCCTATTATGAGGCTGTAAGTGCTACCAACTGATCCTAAGACATTCCAGGTCACACAACTTTCCATGCCAGTTTTCTTTTTTCAAGCTAAAGGGAGAAGAGTGGGGTGAGGGGAGGGAGGAAGTGAATGCTTATAGATAGTTAAGGTAACAGGGGTGCAAAGGTGGGGGGGGAGGGGCTGGCCTTGAACAGGCCCAAGTCTCATCCAGCCACAGGCATCAGTCTGCAAAGTTCAAACTTCCCTCAGTCGTGCGTTAAATGTTTTTCAAATGCAAACTTGCAGATTTCTTTCACAAATCAAACCATGAAACCAGTTTGCTCTGTCTTTACCCAGCTTATGCATGCATGCTGGTCTCAAGGAATGAGACGTGAATCTTTTTCAAAAAGATTTGGGGGGAAATATGACCCAGTAAAAGCCTGAGCCAAATTTCTGAAAAATACAATGCCCAGAACTTCTGTTTCCAATGAATGTGAGGTGGGTGTCCAAATGGGGAAGCCCCCGTTAAGGTCGCACTGGGATAAACGATACTTTTGTCCTGCTGGTCAAAGAGGCTGGAGGGACGGCCATCCTCACTCCGAGAGTGATTTTGACAGGTGACGGTTCAAGTGCTTCAAGGTTCAAATGTTTCCCCGAACTCTTGCCCAAGCCTCCCCCATCCCCACCCACATGAAACGGGAGACTCCTTGAAAATGAAATGCCACACAGCATCACGGTGCCGATGTCTGACCAGCACAGCAGGTCACAGAATTTCCGGACCCGAGTGTGTTCTGCGATGTTTATGCGGAGTGTGGAGGCAGAGCCGTCAGCCAGAAGCCTCTCTGGCAGGAGAGCTAGTGAGCCTCTTTCAGGAACACAACAAGCCAACGCCACCACGCCCACCCCACCTCCTGGAATCTGCTGAGATTGGCAGGGGGTTGGAATCCGTCCACAAGTTTCAACTCCCCAAATCACAACCAATCACAATCCCCACGTAACTGGTCCTGGCTCTGGGCAACACTGACCCTCAAACCACATCCACCTTCTGGAAGTACTTAAAATCACCCAGCATTGCTCAGAAGTGAGGGCAGAGCCCCCGCCCCCACCCTCTTTTTTTTAATAGCTAGAAAGTTAACTTGAGCTACTGCAAATTCTAGGGTGGAATGTTTTCACGTCATTTCAGCACATCAGTTCTCCAGGCCTTGTTAAGCAAAATTCTGGAATGGACGCATTTACGGGGGTGGAAAGCAGCTATTTTTAGGCCATCTTCAGAAGCATCTTGGAAACAGCGCTTTTGTGAGCAACTTCTGCAGAGGTAAGGGGGTGGTGATCTTTCACCTCTCTACTGTATCAGGAGGGTCGGATCCACACAACCATCTATGCACCTACTATGTGTACTGTGCCGACCCTCTCTCCTGGCTGTACCAATTAACCGGGGCAATGGGGCGGGGCCCGGGAGGACAAGCCTGAGCAGACTCCATTCCACACTTCTGCTCTCCTAGGTAAGCAGGTCATCCATTGGCCACAATGCAGCTCGCTATGGGGTCGGAAATAGCCACGTGTCTGTGCAGGAATCAAGGAGGAGTAGGGGTTTCAGAAAACCTCCTTCTACTGTGCCTGGGACAATTCACCCCCCATACTCGGCACACGACTCGGCCAGCTGGGGAGATACTGCCACAGGCTCTGCTCCCTGCCCTCTCGTCTCTGTTACCCACTGAGAGGCACTGTAGCTAGTGCAGGTTCTGGAACCAGCAGCTCAGCTAGAAATGTCACTTTGAACAATCTGACCACCCTCTCTGAGCCTTATTTCTCCTCACCTACCAAATGGCAATGATCACAGTCAACACTTCACAGGGCTGCGGTAAGCGTAAGTGGGTCTGCCCGGCCAGCATGGCTTAGTAGTTGAGCATCGACTTATGAACCAGATGTCACGGTTCGATTCCCGGCCAGGGCACATGCCTGGGTTGAGGGCTTGATCCCCAGTAGGGGGTATGCAGGAGGCAGCCAATCAATGATTCTCTCTTATCATTGAAGTTTCTATCTCCCTCTCCCTTCCTCTCTGAAATACATACATACATATATACATTTTTTTTAAAAAAGAGCAAGTGGCAAAGAATGCCATGAGCAAAACACAATGTCCGGTATGCAGTAGGCATTAATGTTACCTCCTTCCCCTACTTCATTCACCTAACTTCCTAGTACCTGCTATGTGCCAAACACTCTTCCCCAGAACCAGAAGCCCAGAAGCTATAATCCCAGTGTTGTGTGCAAGAAGAAAGCAAAAGGAAAAAAGTACCTCGTGAATTAACAGGAGGATAAAATGTTTAATATGTCACTTCTCTGAGTCAAGCAACTCATAGGTCATGAGACTTTGCGGTCCCTCGTCTCTGGTTCCAAGAGGAGGCTGAGACACAACATTGAACATGTAAGGACATGTGAACCCAGGACGTGTAAGGGAGGCGCACAGGGGGACACATCTGAGCTGAGTAGTTTAGGAGACCAACGTGGCCTGAGAGGGCAGCCAAAGAGGAACCAAGAGTCACCCAGGAACAGAACAACTGGTCATGCATCAGACCTTCCAAAAGAGAATATGGTACAAAGAGCAGCCCACCTGGGCCAGGTCTGGCTCCTCCTGGACCTCCTGGCTTCACACTGCCCAGGGTTCACCTTCCCTCCTTGGCCCCGGTCCGCCTGGCCTGGAACTCTCCCCCCAGACCCTCTCCAGAACAGGCCACTGCCCTCAGAGCAGCCCACCTGGGCCAGGTCTGGCTCCTCCTGGACGTCCTGGCTTCACACTGCCCTCCTTGGCCCCAGCCCACCTGGCCTGGAACTTTCCCCCCTGACCCTCTCTAGACCAGGCTACTGCCCTCCTCTTTCAGTGCACCTGCAACTGTGCTAAAACCACCTGGGCTGGTCTGCCTCCTCCACTCAGCGTCAGCTCCACAAAGGCAGGGATGAGTCATTTTGCTCCCTGCGGGTCCCACAGCCTGGCCACCTGGACCAGCTGCCACACACACACCTCCCTACCCTCACAACCCCAGTGCTGAATGACAGGCAGTGCTGCCTGCTGGAGAGCGGATGCAAAACGTGCATGGACTTCCACACTGCTCCAGACCAGGCCACCTCTGAACCCCCAGCAGACAACACAGCATGTGGCACCGAAGGGAAGGCCAGGACAGTTCCTTAGGGGTACAGGCCCTGCCACCATACAAGGGCTCAGTGCCACCATACAAGCCGTGGGACCCTGGCCAAGCAATCCAATCCCTATATGCCCCTGTTTCTTTATCTGCCAATTGGGGATAATGTTGGAACATGAGCGTAGGGCTACTCAGAAGGCTAAATGTGATAACACATTTGAGCACTCAGCCCTCCACACAGTTTTCAATAAATGCTAGTATTCTTACCACCGTGGACTTCAGCATGCTTTTATCACGCTTGAGACAAAAAGGACAAAGGTAGGAGGGAAAAGTGAAAGCTTAGCTGTTACAGGTGGTGACCTACATGTCTGCACCGGGGTTTCCTATCAGCCCTGACTGCCTGGGTGAGCTGACAGCAGCAGCATCCCGTGAAAGGGCACCCCCTCCCCACCCCCCACGGCCACCCCACAGTGCAGAGCTCGGTCAACTGGACCCAGAACCCATTGGCAGACCCAGTGCTCACTGACATCCCGGGTGGGCTGTGCAGTTTTTCTCCGTCCTGCCTTATTTTCCAGCCTGAACAAACCCTGGC